GGAAATCTTTAAAGTGATTAAGCATGCATTGAAGCGGTGTTAGCTTACCCTGTGATTGTCCCATAGTTCCACAGTAAAGCACACGAAGCAACACAAGAAAAACAGACACAGACTAACGAACCAAAAAACAAGACTGAGAAAACTGTCGTCACAGTCTCAGTCGACCGCCGACTTACTTGTCGCGTCCGACGTCCGCACGGTCCTGGGGCCCCTACCAAAAACTGCCTCAGCACTCCCAAGATCACGCTCCACAAAGCGAGAAACCACGGGCGGTGGGCTAGGGCAAGTGCCCTAGAGGCCTCCCCAACCGCAAATGGTCCAACGCCCTGGTGCACTGATCAATTTTCCCACAACGAGAAGATCTCGCTGGGGCCTCCAAATGTTGTGATCGAAATAACCAGGCCCAACTTGAGTGCTCTAATCCAAGAGACGGTTTATTAGCCGACGGCTGTCCTTGCCAAGGAGCAGCCCCGAGGCGCAGGGGCACAAAGGTTTTAAGCCCTCTGTCCCATCCCCCACATCCTTAATTTTTACACAAAAGACTATATCTCCTCCATTCATTAACTGATAACTAAGAGGTGGGTAAGCAAGCAGGGGTACAGAAGCAGAATGCGTCATTGTTAAAATATTTTGTACCTATAGGCAGTGATCCGGCCAGTAAATCCCTTTAGTTAATAAATTTTTAGCAGATAACTAACTAGAAGTGAGACATGGCGGTTAGCACGTACCATGTCTTATCCTTAACCTATTGTTTCTAAAGGTGAGGTCACTACAAACACATTGTTTGAAATAGTTTGAATCTTATTCACAGGTTGGTACCAGGCATTTTAATAGCTGGACCCTGAGTATTATTTTTTCAGCTGTAATATTAATACAATTTTTGTCCGTACCTAGTCGCACCTATTGGGTATTACTTTATCTTACCGCGTGTAATTAGCCAAGCTCAAACTTAATAATTAAGCGCTCACGTTATTTTATTCCCGGCTCCATGTCGGGCTGAGAAAACCCTGCCTTGGCAAGGACTACTAGGCCAAATATCAACTCAAAGATTCTCTAACGCACAGCGTTTAAAGTGCATGGCAGAGGAGAACATTACACGTTAAGAACCCAATGTCAGGGCATGAACTCGCAAAATATGATCACATGTCCAAAGAACTGAAAAAAAAAATGGAGCAGAGCAACACAAACATGAAGCCTCTCCCAAACCGCTGCTGGACTCCAGGCTCTCTGAGCGCTCCGGGGCAGAGGGCTCAGCGGAAGCTGCAGTACGACAGGGGCGGGTCTGCGGCCGTAAAGTAGCAGCATCACGAGACCACGTGGGCTTCCTGGTGGCTAAGGGCGCAGGTGGAGGTTCTCTGCCGGGTGCGTCATGGCTGGTCCTGTGCACGGCGGTGGGGCCGGGGCTCTGGACCTGCTCCGGGCCCTACCCCGTGTGAGTCTGGCCAACCTAAAGCCGAATCCAGGCTCCAGAAAACTGGTAAATGGCTGGTCGCTGTGCGAGGAAGCGCGGGGGGCGGGAGGGCCGCTATGAGAGCCGCTTGTCCCTGCAGATTGTATTTGAGGACTCCTTTCCCCATGGGTGTTGAGATGAACGTAAGGTTGCCGAGTTCTCGTTCTCCTGAATTGCACAGAGGAAAATCTTACGTGGTCCTGATTCTTAATAAGGTTTAAATTTAAAAGTGTAGTTATGTTAATTGGGGTGGGGGAGCGAAGTTGCAGAAACTACTAGGTGATTGTCTCTTTCAAAATTGGGTTTAAAATGAAGCGCTTGTCTAATAAGTGTCCTGATGGGAAAGATTTGGATTGAGTTATTACGTTAGATGTCTTCAGAAAGTCATCGACTACAGCTAGAAAAGCTGTTAGTTGATTGACATACTGTCATTTGAAAAATCAATTCGTTTTCATGAAGTCACGAAGTAAATTAAAAATAATTTAAATTAATCTTTAAATAAAATAATATTTAGGTAACAATTATATATTTACAATTAATTACAACATAAATTATTTTGAATATCATGTTTCATTTTTTGTTGTACATGTTTAATTCTAGTATTTTTTCAATCTAGCCTGTCATAGAATCTTTATGCCCATCCCATCTTTGGATCTTTGCCTTTGAAATACAACCTGGACTTCGATTACAAGAATGAGCTACATCTTCAGTGGCAAAGATACTGATTTAGTGTGTGTAGACGTTAGAGCAGCTAGAACCATGTTTGGCACATAGTTGTACTAGCTAGTACTGGTTGGTTGGATGAATGAGTGGCATAACAAAAAATATACAGTAAAAAGGGAAAATACAGTTTTAAAAAATGCATCTGTAGATCATAAAACTCTTTCTTTGTAGGAAAGACGACCAAGAGGTCGCAGAAGAGGTAGAAAATGTGGCAGAGGCCATAAAGGAGAACGGCAGAGAGGAACACGGCCCCGACTGGGCTTCGAGGGAGGCCAGACCCCATTTTACATCCGAATCCCCAAATATGGGTTTAATGAAGGACATAGGTAAGGCTGCTTTGCTTTTTAAAGTAAAAATTACTAATTTTCACTGAGAATTACCTAAAAAATAGCTCGGTAAAAATTTAAATGGACTTTTAAGCCAACTTTTGCTACTGTTCTCTGAACTATTTTGGTAATGAAACTTAGACTGTGTTAGTAGGGAAAAAAGCCCAGACATGGCAATAAGACCCACAAAATAGAGATACTAATGCTTACTCTCATGGTTGTTTAGAGGCTTAGCATTAATATCTATAAAAATCTGTCCCATTGTAGTCATCCAATAATTAATGCATAATTCAGATAGTGGGTTAAACTTTTCACAAATTTGTTTGTCTAAAAGAGTGAAATAAATGCTTAGAGAGGTAAATTATTTTTAGTGAAACAAAGGAAGTACTGGTTTTGTTCTGAAACCAAAAATCAAGCAATATTACATGTTTATGTTGTACTCAGAAGGGATTTATTTTGTTAAACCATCTAAATTGATGGAGGAAAAACACAGGACAAAGTTTTGAGTTGATTTGGAGAATTTACAGGAAGATAAGTTTGAATTTTTCACTTTAACTTTCTTGTTTTATAGCTTCAGACGCCAGTATCAGCCTTTGAGTCTCAACAGACTGCAGTATCTTATTGATTTGGGTAGAGTTGATCCTACTCAACCTATTGACTTAACCCAGCTTGTCAATGGGAGAGGTGTGACCATCCAGCCTCTTAAGAGGGATTATGGTGTCCAGCTGGTAGAGGAGGTAAGTCCAGGTTAGATTTTTTGGAGTTACAAGAGAAGGCTATTTCTGATTTCCATATAATCAACACTTGCCTTCTTTATTTTTATCCCTTTTCAGTTGCCATAACTATTATGTAGTGGTGATTGTGTTACACTCAATTATGGTTTTAGAAAGCTGGCATTCTCTCCTTGAGGGGCCTCTGGTTCCTGGTCCTATAACACTCTTCTCTGTGTATCCATTCAGCTTGTTCCCTGACTTCCTTTGGTTCTCTGTTTTAATGTCGTCATATTAGGAAGATCTTTTTTGACATTCTTTTTTTAAGGAGTACTCACATTCCACACCAACCCATCCCCTGTCCCCTGCAGTCCTAGTCTGTTTCCCTTACCCTGCCCAAAGTATTTTTTTGAATATATGAACATCTGACATTTATTACCAAGTAATGCATTTATTTTTCACTGTCTTCTTCACTATTATGTAAGTTCTTTGAGAGCAGGTGTTTTGATTTATTGCTTTGATTTATTGTATTTTCAATATTCATGATAGTAATTTAATATTTATGGAGGAAATGAATAAATCAAATACAATTCTAATTGTAGTAAAGAAGTTTTCTGTTTATAGAAATTGACCAGGAGTTTCAAAAGCAAATAAACTGTACATTGTTAATCAACTATTTCTTGTCAACAATATAGCTGTGTAAGTAATTTCTTCTCCACTAGGGGGAAGCATGTGTTTATAGAAAAACCTTTTGATTCCTTTGAAAAAATAAACCTCATGGATAAAAGCTTTGCAAAGAAAATGATTTTAAAAGAGAATACCAAATACACAATTAAGCCTCAGTATTCCACTCAGGGTACGTAAGGGAATATACATGTAGATTACGTGGGAAAATTCATGACCTCATCAGCCAGTAAACTGCTCATCCCAATAGCTTTTAAATGTGTGTCTATTAAACTAGCAGAAGTAATCCTGAAAACTACACCAGGGCAGTGGTCGAGTAAGTACAACTACACATTTACAACTTTATAAATTGGTTGACCTTTTCTGGATTTCAGATTTGCAATAATTAGTGGTTGATCCTTTAGCACAAAATAACCAATTTGGGAATATATTTTCTAAAGAGAAAACAAAATTAAAAAAAAACTTACTGATAGACATTCCTAAAAATGCTTTATATAATACTGAAAATACTGAAACCTTAATGCCCAAGGTTAGGGACATGGTTAAGCAATTGTGGAATAGTAATTAAAAATCATAAGTAATCTGGTAAGATGTTATTGTATTGAGTCAAATGTGCCATTGATTATACAAATGAAGATCATAATCATAGATTAAAAAAACACGAGAAAACGTGTGTTGGAATTGATGGAATATTTTTAAATACTTAAAAATTTGGTTTGGAACCACCTTATTTCTACCACACCAAAATAGCAAGAAATTTCTGTCACTCCAAAAAGAATGATAATACTACCATCTTTTTATTTTTTTGACGTTAGAGTAAAATATAGCACATCCTAACTCAAGTAACCAAAAACAGAACTTTAAAGTTTAATACCACACTTTTTAGTGTTGACCATTCTAGGGAAAGGGTAGACTTATTATTTATTTTTTTGGCGGGGGGGGGGGTGTCAGTTTAGGGGCTATAATAAAATCAGTAGTGAATGCAAAGTGAATTTCTGTTGTCCTCTTCTGCTTTTTTACCTAGAAAGGGCTGACTCCTCCAAAGCTCAGATATTATTGTCATATCTTTTTTCTTTTACTGGTTCCAGCCCACTCGTGCCCCTCTTTAACAATCTCTTGGCCTCTTTTTTACTTAGGGATAAAGAGGTTAAGTGTTTATCTATATCACATAGCATCATATGGTTAAGAACAGACACTTGTGACTGTTAGAGCCCTGGCTTTGTGATCTTGGGCATGTTACTTAACCTGAGTTCAGTGTCCCCATTTATGACGTTGATTTAGCAGTAATTCTGTCAGAGTTCTGAGTACTATAATTAATCAAGTACTAGAAACGTATAGTTATGTTCATATCTACTAAATACATCAAATGAAAATATAGTCATCCCTGCTTATAGGAAATGAAAATCGGTAAAACAAGGTGGTCTAAAATGTAAAAGAATTTTGATGTTGTTTGCTAGGAGCTCTAAGTAGAGGTATTTAAAGTAGGAATGTCTGTTACATCATAGGCACTTTGGAGGAGAAAACACTGTACAAAGGGTGCTTGCTATTGTTAATGTATTTTTAGTCTAGTTATCTACTAACAGACTTTATTTTGGCATATTACAGGGTGCTGACACCTTTAAGGCAAAAGTTAATATTGAAGTACAGTTGGCTTCAGAACTAGCCATTGCTGCAATTGAAAAAAATGGTGGTGTTGTTACTACAGCCTTCTATGATCCGAGAAGTCTGGGTAGGCTTGTTCTGCAGTCATTTTCTTCTCTTCCTCTTTGTCCCCTCCTGGCTGCCATATGAGGATTTTAAAAGTCCTCATGGTTCGTTGACTTGTAGTTTGGTTTTGTTTTAGGATTTCCTGTTAGTGGTGTGGGTACTGGGGCTCCATCTTCTTTTAATATATTTCAACCAGTATGTCATAAAGAGGTTTTAATTTTGTTTTTAAATGTGGGGCTTAAATCTAATGTTACCTGTATTTAAGAAATTCATTATTTGTTGGTAACCCAGGAGTAACCTTGAAGATGCAAACTTTTGAAAATGAAGTGTTTCCATTCACTTACTTAACACAAGACTAATAAAAAAAGTTCTTGAAATTAAGTTCTGTTACTGGTAGTATTTAAACATTAAAATCATTATTAAGATCATTATGTATAGAGCTAATAATTTGTATCTTTATTTAAAAATATTTTTCAGAAATTTTGTGCAAACCTGTTCCATTCTTTCTGCGGGGACAACCCATTCCAAAACGAATGCTTCCACCTGAAGCCCTGGTCCTGTATTACACAGATGCAAAGAATCGTGGTTACCTGGCAGATCCTGCCAAATTTCCTGAAGCGAGACTTGAACTTGCCAAGAAGTATGGTTATATTTTACCTGATATCACTAAGGATGAACTCTTCAAAATGCTTAGTACTCGAAAGGATCCAAGGCAGATTTTCTTTGGTCTCGCTCCTGGATGGGTGGTGAATATGGCAGATAAAAAAATCCTAAAACCTACAGATGAGAATCTCCTCAAGTATTATAGCTCATGAATTCTTTCCAAGAAGACAGAGTTGTAAACATGTACTGGAAAAGGGAATGAAACATAGTATTTCTCATTGCATTTTCTTAATTTGTAATTCTCCAGATTTTTTTTTTTTTTGATGTCTTCTGTGTACTTATCTCTCTCCACCTTTCATTCTCCCCCTCCTCCCACCCTCTCTCTTTAAAATTAAAAGTGCAATAAGCAAAGACTGCATAGAGGTACTGAAACTGGGTTCTGTCTCAAAGATACAAACTCCTTGGTGATCTGCCAAAAGAAGATTATAACTTTTAGAATATTTCTAGTTGATGTTTTCATGATCTTTTCATCCAGGTTTTGTCTGGTTGTTGCAAATCAGAATGAATGTGCAAATGGAATGAAACTGATTTGTTGTAGGCCTGCTGCTCAGTCAGAGTTAGAGCAGTTGCCAGTGAATTGATGCCTCCTTCTTCATCAGTAGCCTCAAGGAAGCTCTGCTACCCAATGTAAGACGATAGCCTTCAACTAAAGGTGATTATGATGTGGGATGTGAGTTTAAGGTTTAAGACTGGAGAATGGTTTCTAAGCAGTACCATATTTGCTAGCAAAATTGAAACAAAAATTCCAAATGAATTTATTTCAACTGCGATGCATAGACAATGAATGATTTAGCTATTCTTGAAGAAAATAAGTTTTCTGATTCTAATTAATATACATTTAACTTATTTCATAGATGTTGGCGATATCTGTTTTTCATTTTAAATGATGTTGAGAAAATTGTTCAGCAAGTATATAAGCCATGAAAACAATTGGTAATGTGAAAATTAATGAAAAGATTCAGCAGTCAATTAGCTTATTTAGCTTTTCAAAGATATATTGTATCTAAACCATAAGAAAGTACAATGTATCTTGATGCAATTAAATCTTACATAAATCATGGTAATTTTTCCACAGTAGAAATTAAGTGATTCTTGGCTCTGTATTTTCTTAAAATAAAAAATTTAAAAATCTAAATGTTGTAATATTTTGTTTTGTTAACTTATTCACCTGATATACTGTTGACCTTAGATTCAATTTATAAAGTAATTTATGTACCAAGAGTATATTTCACTTTTTATTCCGGATTATATAGTTTGGCTTATTATTAAACCATTCCTTAATACCCAGAACATAGAAGAATCAATATTAGGGCCATCTATGAGAGCCACCTATGAATTTCAAAGGACGTACAAAAATTGAAAAACATGTTTTGTTTTGTTTTTTCAGAGACCCCAAGTGACAGAATTGGGGGGTTTTAGAACCCTAAATCACAGTGCTTGAATGAGATAAAGTTTATTTTTTTCTAACTAATGAAATGTGGAGATCAGTTCAGGGCTGATTGCTGGCTCTGCTCCACAAAGGTTTCTCCCTGTTTAGTTCACCTATCTTCACAAGGAGATGTGTATCTTCATATTCCAAATAGGTATCAACAAGGAGCCAACTTTTCCTGAGATTCCTAGAAGCTGCCACACAAAAAACTTATGCTTAAATCCCATGGTCAGAACCTGGATATAGTCCTTCTGCAAGGGAACCTGAAGCCTCTGGAAGCTTATATTCCTAGCTTAAAAATTCTATTATGATGGGTGAATAACAGTGGTTATGTTGGATAACCAGCAGGGGAATTGACACCTATTGTGGTATCAACCTAACTTCAACACGGAGGTTAATTGACTTAGACAAACATCAGAAAAAGTGCTCAATTCTTCAATTCTATGTTTAATATATCCACCATTCCGGAATGCTGGATTCAGTAAGTTATAAAAGTCAATATGTTGCTTAATTCAGTCTTGGTAAGCAAACTGTTTTTGAAGGAGAGTGATGACAAAACATTGCATCATTTAAGAGTCCAGAGTAGAATTTGTTTTTTTAAAAATCACTGCTGGGAAAAAAAACTTGTTAAGTAGTTCATGCTTGGTTTAAAGTTACGTAAGACTGAAATATAAAAAGTAAAAGTCCATATTCTCATACTGTTGCCTGACCCATTTCCTAGAGATAACCGAGCCACTGTTGGTCTTTTTTTTCTAATCAAAAGGATAGACTTGCACTACACTGTACTGAACTTGCTTATTACATCTGATGTATTTCAAGGACATTTTTTCCAAGTATTTTACATTAAGGTATTTAAACTTTGCAGCCTTAATTTTAAGCCCTTTGAAATAGGATCCATCACACAAGTCACTTCACCTTTCTTACCTGTATACAATGCAGTAGCACTTAATATTCGTATAATGTAAGAGTTTTATAAAGTGACCTTTAAAGTCTCTTTAAGCTTTGATATATCATGATCATAAAGATGTTGCCTTGGACTGAGGAAAACTTTGACCCTGACCTATTTGCATAGAAATGAACTTGTATAAATTTAAACGCATCCTTTTCTATATCGGGACTGTGAAGTATGGAAACAAACCTGAAATACCATTATTTGTATGCTGGAGTGCGGGTGGGTATTGTTCTAGGTAAGTTACTGCCTCGACTTATTTGTGCTGATGGAGATTTTTCTTCTGTGATTCAGTTCACAATTGTCCTTCTGGAGCCAAGGCTCGTATGGCCTCAACAGGAAAGTTCTTAATCGGAAATGAGGGAGGCAGTTAGTCACATAAAGGTAGATACATGGGCAATAGCCTTCTAGTCTCAGAATGTACTTTTGAGGGCCTTTAGATTCCCCTCTTCCTCTCTGTCCAAGTAGAATGACTAATCTACCCTGAGCAATAGTTAAAGATGGCAAAGGAGACAGGCAAACACCAGAGTTGCTTAATTGTGGCTGTCTTAGGTGGCCTACAGGTGTTAGGAAATTGGGATAGAATGATAAATGGAAGAAAGAAAACAGGAAACAGATGTCTGGTGATGTGGAATGCTCGGATAGCACTTACTCACAGAGCATGGGCTTAGTCACAAACAGCTGTATCCTGGTCCTAATATTATAATTGTGCAGATACTTCTCAGCCAAAATAGGCACGTTCCACAAAATCCATCCATTCTGTTTTATAAAGGCAGTTCTTAAATTACCATATAGCAGAGAGTCCCAAGTTCATTTTAATTATGTAACAATTCTGGATTCTAAGGTGCTGCTACACTGCTGGCCATTTGCAAGGAAAATGAGGGAGTGCAGTGGCAGACAGCTTTATCTTTTTAAGAGTTCATTTCACTTGAAAATCTAAGTGTAAAAGCAAGAAACCTTCAGTCTAGATCCAAGTCCTTTCCTGATATGTTGTTTCCATCTGTTTCCAGTATACATGGCCCATTTGTGTCCAAAACCAGAAAAGCTTGAGTTGATAGGCATTTAAAAAGATTCTTTAACACCTGAGAAATAATTACTATGGCTTTCCTGTTTATTGAATTCCGGGGTTTATTTAATTTTTTTAATGTTACTCTATTCTTTGGAAAGTGGAGTGGTTATGCAATAGTAAAGAAAGCATCAGATAACAGCAGTATAACTCAATTTAGTTTGTGTCAGAGAATAAAGAGTGCTCTCTAAATCAGTTCAAATCCCAGAATGGATGTGACTTTAGATGCTTTGTTGGAGAGACGTAGTATGAAGTAGCACAGCCTTCCATGTCATAAACCTAGGTTTTATCCAGGCTATGACAGCAGCTGAATGACCTTGGGCACATATTTAATGACTGTGTGCTCAGCTGTCTCACCTGTAAAGTGGGAATGATAATGCCCACCTTGTTCTGTGGCCGGGGACTCAACAAGTTTATCTGTGGGGAGGCACCGAGTACAGAGTGCCAGTGTGCAGAGCTGCCTGGAGTGATTACTTCGGCTTAGATCCCAATACTAGCTGTGTAACGTTAGCACATTATTTAAACTCTCTATGCCTCAGTTTCACCATCTGAAAAACTGGGACTACTAATAGATCCCAATGCATATGATTATGATGAGGATTGAAAGAAGTCAATTTTTGTAAAGCACTTAGCACAACACCTGCACATACCGAGTGACTCTTCAAGTGTTTGTCAATTAAGCATCGTTGATAGTCCTTCTTGTGCGGTAGCCATTCTATAAATGTTGTTTACTTTTCTCCTTAAGATTTTCTTTTATCTTATGATTTTCATATAGTCTGTTGGTCAGTGTCTTGAACAAAGGCATGCTAAACTTTGTTATTTTTAGCAGGACCTACTGAGACGGTGCAATTTCAAGAGGAAGCGTGGTAGGAATTAAACCTAGAACCAAGAGAATTAGATTGAATTTCAGTGACTTAAGTCACTAAGTTGCTCTACAACATCATCATCAGTTTTCATGACTTTATAAAAGGAGTCCACCTATCTGGAAAAGGTATTGGAACTGAGAGGAAAAATTTTAAATAACTAATGTTATCTGACTCTAAAATTTCTACATATTGGAAAGAAGCTGGAAACTACAAAGGGGAAAGAAAAAAAAGAAAATGTTAATCATTTAAGATTTGGGCTATGTAATGCTGTTTTTTTTTTCCTCACATATAAATGTACCTGATTTTTTCATTTCACTAATTAAGATTATCGTATATATCTTATACCATAGATTTATAAACATCGAAGTAGTTTAAATTTCTTATATATGGAGATGTACAGTTTAAGTATGTATTATCTAAAAGACTTAAATGAAAGCATCAAGTCTAGAACTCAATAATATGAACAGAGAAACTATATTCTATTCAAAAACTTTTTCTCAATAATGAAAGTAATTTTTTTAAAAGCAACATTATAAAACTTAGACTAGTAGTATTAAAATTTATAAGATATAAGAAACCACAAGGTAAAATCTAACGTTTCTTGATTTCTTCTGACTGTACAAAGATTATTCTGATAAACAATTTACAGTGGACTTAGATCCAGAGCCAGAAATTCTCACAACTGCTCTGTGAGGTAACTATATTTTCCATTTTACATCTAGGGAAACTGAAGTACCTTTTCTGGCGGTGACTGGTACAGAGAAGGTTAGACAGTCTGACTTGTGCCCTTCAATGACGTAACGGAGTTGGTATATCATATATTAAGTCTAAGCTTTTGGTGTGTGCTTTGGTCAAAGAACCTAGCAATGTGCACTGCTCTAAATCAAAAAGTAGCCATGATCTTACTAACTCTTCTAAGTTTAGTTTCAAAGTAAAATTGCTTTGCAAGAAAGTTCTTACTTCCTAATTGAAGAAGTCAGTAAGGAGCTGTTTATATGTTGTATCATTATCTTTAGATGTCTTTTTATATCTTTACAGCTTTGTGCATTCAGTCTGCCTTTCCCTCCCTTCCCCCTCTATGTTTTTTGACCTGGCAAACTTTTGCACCTGAAGCCCAAATTCCATTGTAAGGACAATTCTATCCTCCCCATCAAAGAGGCTCTTCTCTGGTCTGGCTAAGGTCTGTGTCTCTCCAGCAAACATTGATATCCTCTTTTTCTAAAAGGTCAGGTTTATTGAGGTATGATTTATTATCCAGTAAAGGTATTTAGATATACAGCAGAATTGTAATAAATTTATGTAGATATAGAACCACTACCACCATGATAAAGACATAGAATATTTCTGTTACTTCTAAAATTTCCCTTCATAGTCAATCTCTTCCTCCAGACCCTGGCATCTGGCAACCAGTGATCTGATTTTTGTCCTTGTAGCTTTGCTTTTTCCAGAATTTCTTGGAGATGGAATTATGTGATTTATAGCATTTTGAGTCTGGTTTTCTTCACTTTAGCACAATGAATTTGAAAGATTATCCATGTCATTGCCTTTCCAGGTAGTTCTTTCCTTTTAGTGCTGAGTAGTGTTCCATTTTATGAATGTACCATAGTTTGTTCATCTTTTTACATTCAGGTTCTTTCTAGTTTTAGCGGAATATGTGTTCCATTAAGTGATTTGTTTATTTATCCACCTTTTGATAGGCATGTGCATTATTTACAATTTTTGTCTCTTAGAAAGAAAGCTGCTATAAATATTTGTGTAAAGATCTTTGCATGTACATACGCTTTCTTTTCTTGTAGATAAATGCCTAGATCGGACATCAAACTGT